GAGAGTGATGATGAAGAGCTTGAGCAAGCTTATGAAAAGCTGTATAAGGAGTCTCTTAAGTTATCCAAATTGAATGACAAACTCACTATGAAACTCAAAGCATGTGAAAGTGAGAATGTCAAACTAAAAGAGGAGATTTCCGAGGCTAGGATTGATGCCATCAAGATAGCTAATGATCGACAAGCTCTTTGTGCCAAAATCTTGACTTGTGAGACAGAGAGGAACGAGCTACAACAAATCTATGCAACATATGAAGAAAAAATTGAAACTCTCGAGATGGCTCAAGTTGCTTTTGTATTTGTTTTCGCATTTTTATTTCAGTGAGGCTATAGTGTTTAGATGCGAATCACAACCCAAATCGTGCCTTTGTCAATTTCCATGGGATCAAAACGAGGTTGTTACAGGATCTAGTGTTCCAGATTTTCCAATTTTTGGTCGTCCCGCTCGAGCAGGACAAGGGATGCTCGAGCGGGGATTGCAAGCTCACAGCTCTTGCTTCGCCTGAAAAAAGTACTGAATGGTGTGATTCGACGCTCGAGCGTGGAAACTTCCGCTTCGAGCGTGAAGCCTATATGAATCACACAATTTTGTAGCCTCCACTCGAGCGGGAATTGCCACACTTAAGCGGACCGCGCAAACACAGATTCTTGGATTTCTATAAGGAATTGGTTTTCTTCCAAAACTAGGATTACTTTTGGTTTTCTATAAGTAGTTGGGTTTCTCCCAAAACTTGAACAAGTCCTCCAGATCTTCTTTTGGATTCTAAGGTTTATATCTGGGATATTTTGCTAGTTTTCTTTGATGTTTGATTGAGTATTCAACTCATGATTTTAGAAGTTTACATCAAAGGATTGTTGTTTTATTCTACACAAAAGAGAGAGTTGTTCTTCAGTGGATTCTGAAGAATTCGGGCTTGAAGCTTTGGTGGATTCCGGAGTGGCTCATCGTCAAGACAATTCCGAGGGGAAGATGGGGTTAGAAGAGACACATAGAGGTGGTTCAATTCGGGCGTGGATTCGCTACGTAATTGAGAGTATACCTGTGTAATTCCTTTATTATATGCTAGTGGGTGTTTTGTGGTGTTGCCCGTGGTTTTTTATCACAATTGGAGGTGTCCAATTGTGATTTTTTCACGTAAAATCGTTTGTGTCAATTTGTCTTGAGTTTGATTGGGATTGTTATTCTACTTAATATATATATATATATATATAAGGTTGAAAAATTTTATAGAAAAATTTCTCAACATACATAATTCTACCTAACTTTTTCTAGATTAGAGGCTGGGTTCAAAGGAGGTTGAAAAAAAAAAAAACTACTTTACATACTCATAAAGCTCCTCTCTGTGTCATCAATGGGGAAAGCTCCTCTCTGTGTCATCAATGGGGAACCACAACGGTTGTTTCTTGAGGAGAAAAAAGATGATGAAGAGAAAAAAGAAAAAATTTGTTGATGAAAAATCTGCAGAAAAACGCAGAAAAAAGAAAAAAAAATTTGTTGATGTTGATCTGGATTGAAGATGAAGGAAAAAAAATTCTGTTGATGAACCCAGTCAGATTAATTGCTTAAAATATGAAGGAAATGTAATGCAATAACAACAATGCTACAGACCCCCAATACGGACGACCCCCACCGACCCCCAGTGCCACGTGTTGGCCTGGGATTGGCCGGAAACTTAAAAAAAAAAAAAAAAAAAAAAAAACAGTTTTTCTGCCCAATCATGGGCGACCCCCAGCACCCCCAGCTGGGGGTCCAAGTCATTTTTCAATGCAATAAATATTGTTAATTTAAGAATAAATGAAGGAAGGTGGACCAGATCTTCTTCTGCGGCATTGCATTACATTATGTCTTCTCTCTCCGTGTATTCTGCATTTTTCTTCTTCTTCTCCTCTTCTTTTTTCTTCTTCTTCAGCTTCAGAAATGGCCAAAAAAAAAAAAAAAAAACACCAAAACGATGAGAAGAATGCAATTTAATTTGCAAGATAAGGGTTTGTTGGAAGTTACAGGTTTCGATTCTTCGGAAACAAAGTGGAAGAAGGGAATCAGTTGCGCAAGCAATGAACCCATCTCTGTTTTTTTTTTTTTCTTTCTTGAAAATTTGCCCCCAAAACAACGTCGTTTTGGGGGCTGCAGGGAAGGGCTGCTGAGAATGGCGGCCGAGGATCCGGACTCGTTAGTATACTAATTAGTACATATAGCACCACCGAAATATAATATGTGGATGAGATCAATCTTATATATTGTGTAAATTTTATTTAAAATAAATTCAAATCTTACAGTTTACTTTTTATATACTTCTGTATTTTAATTGTGTATATAGAATATTGCTGAATGTGATGAGTAAATTTATGTAGGAAATGAAAAAAATTGATAAAATCTATTCAATAATTATATTGCGTGAGACATACCTATAAACTACAACGAATAAGGTAAATAAATAGTACAATAATAATATTATTTTAATGATTTTACCAATTAATAAAAAATACTTTTATTTATATATGTTTTCATGTTTTATGTTTTTTTTTACTTCGATAGAAAATGATTTTATGACCCATACATTTTTTGTAAAAAAAATTATTAATATATATGTTCACTCTTTTTGTATTAAAATCTTGGATTCATCCTTACATATCTCTTCTCATTCTCTTCCTGTCACCCTTTCCATTTTCTTCCCCCAATGCCCTTACATCACTCCTTTCTCTTCCTTCCATCCTCTCATTTTCCTCCCTTTTAAACCCTAATCCTACTTTCCCACCCCGATTGCCACTTACCACTAACAACAAAGAGAAAAATAGAGAACCTTGAAGGGAAAAGAAAGTTGCGAGCAAAGGGGAGCAATGGGATGGGTTGAGGTGTTACTGTCAAAAATAGGAATGGACTGAAGGCTAGCAGAGAAGTTGAAGAGAAGATTGGGAAAGCTAGGAGGGTGGGGAGAATTTTGGGGGGGGCGTTTACAGCCGAAGATGGGCCAATTAGAGGCTCATAAGAAGAATTAGGAAGGGACCGAGTGTCTATCAGATGTAGCGGTAGTGGTGGTGGTCGTCGACAAGGGAAAAGATGGTGGTTGAGAATGGTTGTAAAGAGAGCATAAATATGAATTTTAGGATTTGTCCTTGTTCATAGTTGGGGAAACTACATACAGGTGGAAGGAAAGGAAAAATATTACCAATACATAAAGGATACAAGTGTATATCTATGGTGGAGTACAAATGTGTTGATAAATTTTTTTTTTTTCACTCTCTCCTACCTGCATATAATTCCCTCTTCATAATTATCGTAAGGGAAATTCTACTATGCACACTCTTTACTATATGCACCCTTAAGTTTTGTTATTTTTTTTTCTAGTTATGATCAATTTTCTTCTTTAGTTATGACTCATAATATTTTTTGTTATCTCTCATGTGCTATTTGTGATTTTTTAATATACATTATTTGACACAAAATATTTACTGTATATGTTTGAAATTCGTGAAAGTTACTATGCATAAAATCTATTTGTCACACTATTCACCAATCACGTTTTGAAAAAATCCGTTTAACACTATTCACTTCTCTTGACAAATTTGATATACCCACATGGGGCTATGGGTTATTTTTATTGTTAGGTTTTATTCTTGGCAACCCCGTTTGACAAAACTCCTTTCAGTTGTATTTGTTTTCGCATTTTTATTTCAGTGAGGCTATAAGTGTTTAGATGCGAATCCAACCCGAATCGTGACTTTGTCAATTTCCATGGATCAAAACTGAGGTTGTTACAGGATCTAGTGTTCCAGATTTTCCAATTTTGGTCGTCCCGCTCGAGCAGGACAAGGGATGCTCGAGCGGGGATTGCAAGCTCACAGCATCTCTGCTTCGCCTGAAAAAGTACTGAATGGTGTGATTCGACGCTCGAGCGTGGAAACTTCCGCTCGAGCGTGAAGCCTATATGAATCACACAATTTTGAAGCCTCCGCTCAAGCGGGAATTACCACGCTCGAGCGGACCGCGCGAACACAGATTCTTGGATTTCTATAAGGAATTGGTTTTTTTCCAAAACTAGGATTACTTTGGATTTCTATAAATAGTTGGTTTTTCTCCCAAAACTTGGACAAGTCCTCCAGATCTTCTTTTTGGATTCTAAGGTTTATATCTGGGGATATTTTGCTAGTTTTCTTTGATGTTTTGATTGAGTATTCAACTCATGATTTTAGAAGTTTACATCAAAGGATTGTTTGTTTAATTCTACACAAAAGAGAGAGTTATTCTTCAGTAGATTCCGGGAAATTTGGGCCTAAAGATTTGGTGGATTCTGGAGCGGCTCATCTTCATGGATTCGACATCATCATTGTGGATTCAACGTTGGGCAAGACAATTCTGAGGTAAAGACGGTGGTAGAAGAGGCACATTGGGTTTGGTTCAATTCAGGCATAGATTCGTTAGGTAATTGAGAGTTCTCATGTGTAATTCCTTTCTCTTCCTAGTAGATTGTTTTGTGACTTTAGTCCGTGATTTTTTTTATCACAAGTAGAGGTGTCCAATTGTCATTTTTCCACGTTAAATCGTTGTTGTGGGAGCCGAAAAGAGGATAGAGTTGAAAAATGGCCAATAGAGCATCCAAGCTCGTTTAAGATGGGCCGAATAAGGCCAAAGCCCACTGGAGTACGTCATTGTTGAATAAATGTCTGAATAAGCATGAAAATATGGGGGAGCGCCAAATAGCGGGTACCTGTGCCAAGCAACAGAGCCGAATGTGTTGGGTGAGTCGGCATGGACTCATTAGGTGGGACCAGGCTGTCCCTTAGGGGTATGGGCCCTGACAGAATGATGATGAAAGGCTAAGCTGCATAGAGTAAAGATCGAGGAGAGTAACTCTATAAAAGGAGGAGAGAGTCTAGAGAAACAGGCATGTGAGAAGAATCTTGAACCTCAAGAAACCGAAAGAAACACCAATCTTTCTACAAGACCATTTTGGCTGTCGGAGTGCTAATTCTGGCACTACCGTCTAGAGTTTTATTTCCATTTCAGGTGACAGCTGTGAAGATCCTACAAGGGCTTGTTTGGATAGAAGGAGTATTCCATAACCCCTTCCTAACTAGTTGTGCCGATTTGTTGTTGATTGTTTAATTGAGATTACTATTTATTGTTTAAAATTAGATCATAATCCCAAATCAATATCTCGGAAGTTTTTTTAAATTTTCAAAATCTCGTCTTTGTTCTTTATTCTTTAGTCTTTATGAGATATGAGATTGCAACAATGTTAATCACTGCTGTAATTGATGATTTCAGCTATGATGGGCATGAGGAAGGTGGGCAACTCACAGAAGCTGTGAGGAGGCAGCCATATAGTGTCATACTATTTGATGAAGTTGAGAAAGCACACCCCACTGTTTTAAATACATTTCTTCAAATTTTGGATGATGGAAGGTTGACAGATGGCGCAAGCCGCACAATTGATTTCACCAACACAATAATCATTATGACTTCAAACCTTGGAGCCGAGTATCTCTTGGAAGGATCAACGGGCAGTTGTACAATGGAGGGTGCTCGGGAATTGGTAATGCAAGAGGTAAACTAGCAATGCCATGTTACTCTCAACAGCTGCATATTGTTTAACATTGCTTGTTTCATTATCTAAATTCTGTTTTGAATCACACAATAATTTGGGTTTTGGCACATTATAGGTGAGGAAACACTTCAAGCCCGAGTTTCTTAATCGACTGGATAAGATTGTGGTATTTGATCCTCTTTCTCACGATCAATTGATAAAGGTTGCCGAGCTTCAGGTGAAGGATGTGAAATTCCGCCTTGCAAGGAGAGGTATTGCCTTATGTGTGACTGAACAAGCACTGTATGTTACATTATTGAACAGTTATGATCCGGTAAGTATTGTGACTTCTCTAATGTATACACATTTCATTACTTCCATCTGCAGTGGTTATTAAATTGCTACAATATGTGCTTCCAGGAATATGGTGTGAGACCTATTAGGAGATGGGTGGAGCAGAATGTGGTCACGAAATTATCAGGAATGCTTTTGAATAAGGAGATTGATGAAAATTCAACTGTTTATATAGATTCTATGCCTAATGGGTAGGAGTTAACATATCGGGTTAAAAGCAATGGGGGACTTGTGAATGCTGCTACTGGGCAAAATTCAGACTTACTTATTGAACTGACTGATGCTGCCAAGGCGGAAATGAAGATGAAGCTGGCGACGAAGATGAAGAAATCTACAGATGATTCCCAAAAAAAAGGGAAACGGTTTTTTTTGGTTTAGTATTTGTTATTTGTTTTAATGCTTTAGATTTTATGTTTTGAATCTCTTTCTTTATATTTGAAGAAAGAGTCGACATTTTGGTCAAGTGTCCTGAGTTGTCATTCAATTTGTTTTACATGAGCTTACTGATGCAAACGGAATTTTAAATAATAAATATTTTATTTTATTATTTTAAAATTAATATTTTATTAGAAATATTCTAATTTAATATAGAATTGTTGAGTTATTTAGTTTCTTGATTTAATATGATGTAGTTTTTGCATATTATCCTGTACACCTTGTTTTTATTTGTCATCATTGTGGTATGCATGGTCATATTCGCCCTTATTGTTATAAGTTGCATGGGAGAGTGTATTTGCCTAGACCTAAAAATTGGAAGTTGGAAACCAAGTCGAGACGGGATCCCATTGAAAGCAAAGGGAACCACAATGTCAAGACACTATCCAAGAACCGCAATGCTCATAACTTTGTTTATACTAAAGCGGTTTGGGTGAGAAAATGTGACTTGTGTTAATTTGTTTATTTGTTTTAGCTTTTGGGTTTTTGTGTGTTGTTTTTAATGAAAAAAAAATGTGTGCTTGTTCGTTTTTTGTCTTGTTTTTGGTTAAGGAAAAAAAATAAATAAAAAAAAAAACCCAAAAAGATTTTCTTAGTATGGTTTTGCAAGCTTGAAATTTTTGAGTGGTCCTTGGTTCATATTGGAATTGATGAGAATATCCATTACATGTTAATATATGTGTGCTTTCTGTGGTCATTACTCATTTTGGAGTGCGTGTTTTTTGATTAGTATGTCTCATTCTGTACACACTCTTGGATTAGCAAATTTTGGAGTCTTCTGCCTTAGTGATTTTTTTTTCTCTATGGACTTCTGTCATTGATCTTTTACGTTTCTAGAGGAATTGACCTATACTAGCATATCATGGGTGATGTTGAGTCTTTTAACCACCTTCCATCTTTTTGCACCTCCACGACTTTCCCCTTAATTCTTTGCAGTCTAGCCATGAGGAAAAGGCTACCTCAGAGTCGCCAACTAGGCCATCATTATTATATCCATGCTTCTCTGGTTTGGTTTCTATACTCTTGAGCGTGTCAACCGCCAATGATTGTGCAAAAGAAAAAGAAAAAGAAAAAGAAAAAAATATGTAAAAGAAAGAAAAAAATGTGCAAAAGAAAGAAAGAAAAGAAAAGAAAAAAAGATTCATTGATTGAAGGGGAGCCTCCGCCTTTACTCACCAAATACCCCTTGATTCCTAGTGGTTTGACTTTCCTTAGTTATGCTTAGGTTCTCTTGTCAGAGGTCCAGCTTTCATAGCACTACTAGGATTGAATCTAGTGTTTGTCGAACTCCAAGTTTCGCACACGCACTTTTCTTATGGGATCTATGCTTTTCGCATAATGCATCACTTTCTTTCATGAGGAATCTTCTACAGACTGTGCACATTGTGTTTACTAGTAATTGTGCTTCTTGGATAATCTTGTGTGTTTTAAGGTACAAATCTGAAATTCCTTGCTTGCTCCACCATATTATTTTTTGTCTTTTTCTTCTTGTTCGCTGTTTTCAGTGTTTGTGGTTGCTTTTAGTGAGGGGGAGTTTGGTTCATCTTGATTTGGGTTGGTAAGGGAGTTTGGTTTATCATTGCAAGAGTTTGTTAGTATGAACACTTTGATTTGTTTGGTAAGGGAATTTGGCGATAGTTGTTTTGCATGTTTCTATGCACTGTTTGCTAATTATTTCCTTCTTGCATACTCTTGATGTTTACATCGTCATATCATTGTTTGTGTGGTTTTTGATCTTGCTTTTGTTGTTTGAGAGTTGTTGTTCATGAGTCTTAATTTTCATCTATTCATGTTTTTCATCTCATGTTTCAAGATAATCGTGTCATATGTCTATTGTTTTTTTTATATACTCTTGTGGGACTAATAGTTGTTTTGGAGATTGTGGCACTAATAACTGTTTTGCAGATCATGACCTTGAGAAAGAAGTTGGCTTTTGTTGGTTGTAATGGGTTGCGGTGATTAGGCTTTTATTTGTTAGGTGTGTTTTGTCACGGCATTGCCAAAGGGGGAGATTGTTTGGTTTTATTCTTGGCAATCCTGTTTGACAAAACTCCTTTTAGTTGTATTTGTTTTCGCATTTTTATTTCAGTGAGGCTATGAGTGTTTAGATGCGAATCCAACCCGAATCGTGCCTTTGTCAATTTCCATGGATCAAAACCGAGGTTGTTACAGGATCTAGTGTTCCAGATTTTCCAATTTTGGTCGTCCCGTTCGAGCGGGACAAGGGACGCTCAAGCGGGGATTGCAAGCTCACAATATCTCTGTTTCGCCTAAAAAAGTACTAGATGGTGTGATTCGACGCTCGAGCGTGGGAACTTCCGCTCGAGCGTGAAGCCTATATGAATCACACAATTTTGAAGCCTCCGCTCGAGTGGGAATTGCCACGCTCGAGTGGACCGCGCGAACACAGATTCTTGGATTTTTATAAGGAATTGGTTTTCTTCCAAAACTAGGATTACTTTGGTTTTCTATAAGTAGTTGGGTTTCTCCCAAAACTTGAACAAGTTCTCCAGATCTTCTTTTTGGATTCTAAGGTTTATATCTGGGGATATTTTGCTAGTTTTCTTTGATGTTTTGATTGAGTATTCAACGCATGATTTTAGAAGTTTACATCAAAGGATTATTTGTTTAATTCTACACAAAAGAGAGAGTTATTCTTCAGTGGATTCTGAAGAATTCGAGCTTGAAGCTTTGGTGGATTCCGAAGTGGCTCATCGTCAAGACAATCCCGAAGGGAAGACGGGGTTGGAAGAGGCACATAGAGGTTGGTTCAATTCGGGCGTGGATTCGCTAGGTAATTGAGAGTATACCTGTGTAATTCCTTTATATCTTCTTAGTGGATTGTTTTGTGGCTGTTGCCCATGGTTTTTTTTATCACAATTGGAGGTGTCCAATTGTGGTTTTTTCACGTAAAATCGTTGTGTTGATTTGTCTTGATTGTTTGATTGGGATTGTTATATACTGCTTAAAAGTAATACATAATCACAAATCAACATCTCGGGGATTTCTAGATTTTTCATTTATGTATCCAAAATCTCTACAATAGTTACAAAGATTTTAACATCTAATATAAATGTTATTTAAAGAGATTTTACTATTCATTCAAATATTTTAATAGAAAAATCACTATACATTCAAATATTTTATTAGAAAAGTTACTATACAGTCATTGTGCACCATTTGATATTATGGCAAATATTTTGAAAATATTGAGATTACTATTCATCGAAAGCAACCTTTTGGTCATTGATTTCAACGGTTGCCTCGCGTGTATTTCCTCCGCGTACTCGAGCTAACAAGTCAAAAACAAGAGTGTGGAACGTCTTTTCTCTCTCAACGGGAAGAATTTTTTAGGTATAAATAAAAGTGTTTTGGTTGGAGGAAAAAATTAGAAGTGAAAAAGAGAAAATTCTGTGATATTGAAATATTCTCAAATATTATATTGTGCTTTATTGAATTATATTTTCTGTGAGAAAATTTATTGAGAATTTGAGCAAAATTGTAAAAGGGTTTTATATCCCTTATTCATTTTATACTTGTAAAAAGAGGGAGTTTTAGTGAGTGATTTTTTGAGATAAAATCACTTGGGTTAGGTGTGACTAGGCACCGGATTCTAAATTAGTCAGAGTGATTGAGATTGATCACTTGTTGTAAAGGTTCACTAGTACCCGTGAAGTTAGGGGTGTAATTACTATTTGAAAAATAGTAGAGAAATTCCCGAGAAGAATACTTAGGGAGTGGACGTAGGCCCGGCGTGCCAATCCACTATAAATCGCTGTGTTTAATTTCTCTTCCCTTTGCTCATTCTGTTTCATTTTATTTTATATTGTTGAGCATATTTATTATTTGGGTTAATTTTTAATTTGTTAATTTATTTAGAAACCCAATTCACCCCCTCTACTTGGGATAACAATTGGTATCAAAGCAAGGGCTCTCACATTTATTTTTTGACCCAACAGTCTTGGAGTTGATCTATGGCAATCATTATAGGAACACAAATTGTTGATGATCACTCACCTTCTAACTCTCCATATTTTACTGGTGACAATTACAATTATTAGAAAAATAAAGATGATGTATATTCAAGGGATAGACTATATGGTATGGAAAATTATTAAAAATTGTCTATTATTTCTTCTAAAATCATAAATACAAAGAAAATTCCTAAAATAGAAGAGGAGTAGGATGAGAATGATATTAGAAGCATTCAAATAAATGCTAAAGCAAAATATATTTTATATTGTGCATTTGATACTAATGAATATGATAAAATTATGATTGTGACACAGCAAAAGAGATTTGGAAAAAAATTAAAAGTCACACACGAAGGCATGACTCAAGTAAATGGAATTACAAAAGAAGTAAAATATGCATGTGGAGATGATGATGAATGTTGTTCCGATAAGGAAAGCAACAATAATAAAGCGTTTCATCTATGCTTAATGGCAAATGAAGATGATGAGGTATGTGATTTTAATAATGAATATTATTCTTATGATGAATTACAATCCGCATTTGAAGAATTACATGATGAATTTCGAAAACTTGGCATTAAAAATATTGCACTTAAAAATTACTTTCAAATTCAACAAAAAAAAAATGAATCTTTATCTAATAAAATTGAAGTGTTACAAAAAGATTTTTTAAAGATAAAAGAAGAAAATGACATTTTGAAATCAAAAGAATCTCCTATTTTGAAAAATGAACTAAATGATTTGAAACTTAAAAATGATATTTTGAAAAATGAAACTGAAACATTGAAAAATAAAAATGAAATCTTTAAAAAAGAAAATGAAACTTAAAAAATAAAAATGAAAGTTTAAAAAAAGAAAATGATTCTCTCAAGAATTCTTCAGGTAATTTGAAAATTAAAAATGATTCTTTAAAAGAAAAAATTGAAGATTATTTAAAACAATTTTCAAGTTTACCCAAGGAAAAGAAAATTTAAATAAATTATTTGGAAATCAAAGATGCATTTTTGACAAAGCCAGTATTGGATACAAACCCTATAAGAAATAGATGTTTTATAGAAATTTCTTTGTTAAGAAAT